ATCGAAAAGGCGGCGGAAATCAACGATCGTCACAGAAACAACACGAACTCAACGATCGTTGCAGGAACAAGGAGCCTAAGCTCTGATACCATCTAAAGAATCTAAACAACTCAAAGATTTCCCAACTTCATCATTTCATTCACTATGAAACAGATGGTTTATACATCAAACATATTACAACGGAAACCTTACTACATATACACTCACTCTCATACAAAACTAAGAACAATACAGACAATTGTAAGAAGTATGAACAAATCCTAAATTGGATCGTAGAGAGAATGAACAGAGAGAATGAACAGTTTTCACACACTAAAATATCTAGTCTCACTTAGACAAATGAAGTTGAAACTGAGTACATATACCCTGGATCATAACACCATGGGGTATAACCAACGACCCGCGTGTAAACCCAATACCTGCACAGACATAACAAAACACACCCCCACAAATATACAAATATGCAATACTTACCCAATAATTAATTAATGTTTAGGTTTGTAACAATTATAAACATAACGGTTCTCAACAAACCTCCCACCATTGGCGTTTCCAGTTCCCACCTCCTTTGATGACTCCATGGCCTTCGATGTCCGGTGGCCCCATCTGAAAGCTTCATCGCTTCCATGTCATTGCTCACTGTATATCAGAGCATCACCTGAAAGCTTCATTACGGTTGTTCTGTTTGGTGGCTTTGTGAATCTGATGGCTAGTGGTATCAGCGATGGAGGGTTTATGGAAGTTTAAGTTCTAGTTTTCGACTTGTTGAAGCAACGATCTCCGATTTCTTACAATTTTGCATCTGATAATTTTGGAGGTTTAATTTCTAATGTAGTTAATAGACTTGTGATTGGTTTAATGAATTGGATGGTGTTTTTGCTCATTATTGATTAATTGGGTATTCACAGGAAAGCTTCAATCATTTCCCTTCAAGATTCAGCAAGTATTGATTAATAAAATGTTTATTTAATTTTAAAAATTATGTTTTGTTTATTTAATTTAATGTAAAAAAAAGTATAAATAACTGGAGTGATAACTATTTCCAATGGTTAGTGGTGTGTTAGTGAGGATGCAGTGAAGATGATGTGGGCTGATGTAATATTACATCTGAAACTTTAAGGGACTCTTTAAGAATTAAGAGGCTTTTTTTTTCATTCCTTACCAAACACCCTCGATCTTATAAATCCATACATGATCTCTTAAATTTTCAATTAAGAGACTAACAAACAACCCATTACCCTTATCTCTAACTTTATTCGTACTAAGTGAACCTTATACCTTTTGACATTACCATGAGTCTCATGTCAACTTCTTAAAACATACAATTATTTGCTAAAAAGTCTAATATTTTGGCTATTTTGTGAGTATGACCTAACATTTTTTTTAATGAAAACAAAAAGACTGGTGAACTTTGGTTTTGACCCTTTTGAATAGGTTACATGTTACCATCCCATCCATCGATGTATCGTTAAAACGACCTGGTATTGTACCTTAATTACTCAACCATAAACCCTCGATAAGAACAAGTTTTTGAGTAAGAGTTTTTTGAGTTTAGTTTGTATGAGACATCTCCATAAAGATAAGTAATAGAACACCGTCATCTTTTAATTTTAAATCGAGATAACAATATGTATGCACCTGCATAAATTTGCAAGTGGAGGTTGCTGGAAATGGTGTCAAAGGTCATTAATTGTTTTTGTAATATTTCTAATAATAACAGTATCATTTTGGGTTGACTTCATGACCCAAATAACATTAAGGAAATGGAAAGAATAAGTTGTTAATTTATTAAGGAATTAATAAATTAATTAGAAATTATTTTGGTAATTAAGTAAATTGTTTTAATTAATTAAAGTGCTTGAATATTAATTAATCCAAGAGATTAATTGGAATATTCCAAAAGCTCCCAGAGCATTGATATGGACAATTTTGACTGTTGGATTAAGGTGTCTAAGATCACAACTAAATTGGTATAAAGCTGCAAATGGAAGCAAAGTTCTTTTTGGGTTGCCCTCATAACTTGTAATGGTGTATAATGACTTTTGAAGAGAGATGTTGATTTATTGATTTATTATATGATTAATAAATAGCAATAAATGGTTTGTTAATATATTATGAGGTTAATGTATTAATTAGAAATAATATTGTTTAATTAATAATTAATCAGAAACTAACTGGAATTAATTTTAGGATTAATTGAAATTAATTAAAAGTGTAAGGGCTGAATTGTAACTGTTCAATAGTTGAACAATAGAGACAATTCGAGATTGTTTCTAGGGTTGGACGATTTCTTGGATCCTTTTAGGGTTTCTGGAATATTCCTGATAGCTGATAAGGATAAGGATTTGAATAGATTAAAATATTATTATTTTAAAATTCAAATCAGGGTTTATCCTTATGATCCCCTAGCTATAAATATGACCCATTGACTCATTATTTTCATGGTCCTTACTACCTAGAAGGCTGAAGAATGAAAATTCCTTCTCTACTCCTCTTTCCTCAAGTCATCTTGTTACTAGGGTTTGAGTACAAATCATTAGAGACATTAGATTTCCAGTGCTTGCTTTCCAAGAATTTTGAAGAAAGATTTGAATTAGTTATTTGTTATAATAATCAAAAGGTATGTAAACCCTAACTCTCTTGTATTTTCGAAATTACCTAGGGTTTGCTAGGGTTCTTGATGTTCATAATTTATTGCTATCAATAGAGAAAACATAGATCCAAATAGGTTGCATGTGAACTTAAGAGTTAAATATTTTCCCGCCTCATGCATAGATTTATAACCTATAAAACCCATCAATGGTATCAGAGCCATTGTTTTCTGTTGATTTTGCATAAAATGAATAGATCAAAATTAGGGTTTATCGAAAATAAGGATAAACCCTAAAAAGTTTGTATCCTTTAGGATTTGATCAGCTAGCTATAAATAAATTGATATGGGTCAAATGATGGGGCTGTTATTCACTCTAGAAATCGTCCACTTTGTCTTTTTTTTTTCTCTCATCTATACAAAATTTCTAACCTCTATCCTAGGGTTAGAGAATTTTGACTAAACCCTATTCCAGGGTTCTTCCTTTTGTTTTTGGAGTTGTGGGTTTGACTTCATTAGAGGGGTTCTACTTTTGATTCTTCATCCACTGCAACAACTGACAATCACAAGATCTAAAGCAAGAAGCCAAGATGTTAGTATGTTCTTTCTTGTAGTTTTATAAAACACGTTGCTATAACTAGTAAAACTTAGATTTCATTAATATGAAGCTTATATGGGACATGTTGATCAAGTTTTACAGATTTCATTAAAGTTTTTTTTTTTCAAAAAAATTAGTTGATTGTAATCTCAATCAATTAATTGGTTGTATAATGTTAATTAAGAAACGATTACATATTTTATTTATGTTAGGTAACTAAACTTAAGTATACTTTATGGCTTATATTTAAGGATACTAAGGGAGGAGGGAGTCATTCCCTCCCAACCCACTAAACACACTGCCACATCACTTTTTCTCTTTTGTTTTTCTTCATATTTTCGAACCCACAACACACGGAAATCATATCTTTTTGAACCCACTCAACCCACTCAATTAAAAAAAAATACAAAAC